GGAGAGAACCAACCTACCATATCTTCTGCCTCTGAGAGAGATACGGTACTTTCTCGAATCCGCTTCAGTAACCCATTTTTGGTAAACGTTTCTCTTGGCCACTCCTCCATTCTGTCTAGCACCTTTTCTGACTGATGTATTACTATGTCTGGACCTTCCGCAATAATCTAGAACCAACGATGAAGAACGATGAAAAAACACACTACCAGTCCCATACCTACCTTAAGATCCTTGTCTGTGACTATAGTAGCTATCTCAACCAGCGTTTGTTTCTCAAAATCTAGTCCAGTCATTTCGCAATCGATCCATATCATTCTACCCGCCTTCTCGCCAACAGAACTTGACATTTTTCGCACTAATGCAGGCAAAGCCTTCAACATATGCGCTGCAGGCCCACAAAGATGTAGTGATCATAATCCTCTTCGGCATCCCGCCTACTTTCGCTTAGGAGCGATGTAGATTTCACAAAGATATATGCACAAACAGAGCTAACAAGACACCAGACTGTGGATGGGAAGTTTATCATAGATATTTATACATTCTTCCAATGAGATCAATACACAAATGTACAATAAAAAGAGGCCTCATGCTAATGGCAGAAAAGGAGCATAGAAAACAGACAGATACGAGAATTCCATATACCCAATAATGTAAAGTTCAAAACACAGTTTTCACGCAAGAATCGAAAATCGCTTCAATTTGAGCCTGAAATAATGATATGGTGGTGCGACGCTAGAAAGCGAAACAAGAATTGAGTTTACCTTAGCAATGGCCCTTGCGTGCTCCGGAAGTGTGCGTAGGTCGGATACAGCTGAAGCTGCGAAAGCGCTGTCCCCATCAAGAAGAACATCAGCACCACCTAAAAAGACTGATAGTAAATAAACCTAACCAACTATATTTCACTGCTGAAATCAAGAAGACATAACAAACTTTCGACCTTGGAATCGGTATTCCCAAATTTTCATCGAACTGATGTTCAAATATTCGTGAAGCTTCAGTTTAAAAAAATTCAAAAGATAGAGCTTTTTTCCTAACTCAGGCGCAAACCATGGCTTGGGAAAGCATAGATGACAGTGTAATGGAACGCTGTTGCCCTCCGTTTAGACTCAAAGAGTATACCGCAATCAATTACAACTATTTAGTCAGATTCCGAGAACCTTTCTATAAATTATACTAAGAAACGGAACACTTCCGAAAAAGAACTTAGGTTCTTTGTCATACAAAAGAGCGGGGTATGCCAGCGTCTCTCCCTCTTTCAATGTAACACAACAAGCAGTACAGTACAAATCTTCAGCTGATAGTTCAAACAGTCCCTCAATGTAATGGGGACGATAAAAAAAGTTGAGGGATGACTGGAAAAAGTGATTCCGCGCTGCTACAGGCAGTGGCCATACTTCGCTCAAAAGCGCCCAAAAGCG